TATAGATTTAAATAAATCAATAGAAATCAATCCGAATTCTGCAGAAGTATTAAATATTCGAGGACTGGGTTATCAATACATGGGCAGATATGAAGAATCACTTGTGGATTTAAATAAATCATTAGAAATTAAACCAAGGTTTGTGGATGCATTAGCCAATCGAGGACAAACGTATCAAAGGATGGGTAGATATGAAGAATCTCTTATAGATTTAAATAAATTATTAGAAATAAATCCAAATTCTGTGGAAGGGTTAAATAATCGAGGAATGACTTATCTATGCATGGGCAGTTATGAAGAATCTCTTGCAGATTTAAATAAATTATTAGAAATAAATCCAAATTCTACAGGAACATTAAGTAATCGAGGACTAGCTTATTTCAGTATGGGCTGCTATAAACAATCATTTGCAGATTTAAATAAGGCATTAGAAATCAATCCAAACTTTGAGCACGCATTAGTTACCCGTGGAGGACTTTACCAGTTAATAGGCAGATATGAAGAAGCATATGTAGATTTAAACGAATCACTAATTAAATCTTACCGCATGAGTATACAAAATACTGGCGAGGCAACATCTCTAAGGTTTGGAACATGTGCAGATTGCAAACAATATAATTCGGGAATTGACTTCTGTCATTTATGTGATTCTCAAATAAATCAAGAGTGGAACAGCGGAAATAAGAATATAGATGAATTTATAAAACATGCACAAATGAATACACCATATTATCATAAAGTTATTGAATGGATACCTTTTGATAAATTAGAAAATATTCAAAAAATTGGCAAAGGTGGGTTCAGTACAATTTATTCTGCTACTTGGATTGATGGTAAACGAAACTATAGTTGGGATAAAACGAAAAGAAAATTGATAAAGTCACGTGAGCAATTTTGCAAAGTTGCGCTTAAAAGTTTAACCGGGACTCAAAATGTTTCATTGAATTTTTTAAATGAGGTAAGAAATTACCTAGTTTATCTTTAATAAAAATAAAATGAATAACGATTTATTTTTTACTTAAAGTTTAAAGCCCATTATGAATGTCAACTTGAAAAACTAAGCGTAGAAAAGTACGGAATAGAAACATATGGAATAACTTATAATACAAATAGTAAGGAATACATGATGGTCTTTGAATATGCAGATAATGGAGATCTTCGACACTATTTGTCGAAAAATTTTACAAGCCTCACCTGGAAACAAAAATTAAAACTCCTTTATTCTATATCAGATAATTTGGATTATATTCATCAAAGATATGTTCACAAAGATCTTCACAGTGGCAATATACTTATATTTACTGGAAGTTTTAATTTAAAAGCTTTATTATTCAATATTTATCATATGGATAATAAACCAATTATGATTACGCAAAATTTTGGGAAAAAGTCAAATATAGAACCAAAGATTTCAGATTTAGGACTTTCTAGTAAAATAAACGAAATTATCGTAGAGAATGGAATATACGGAGTAGTACAATATGTTGCTGATGAAGTATTATTAGGTCAGCCGTATACAAAAGCTTCAGATATTTATAGTTTAGGAGTAATTATGTCTGAAATATCGACAGGAAGACCACCCTTCGAAAATTTATCACGTGAGACGATACAAATACAAAAAGTTACCAGCAGATTGAGACCAGAATTTGCAAAAGGAACACCCGAATGCTATGTTGACCTTGCAAATCAATGTATGGATAATGATCCAACAAAACGACCAACGGCCAAAAAAATTTGTGAAAAATTAAGAGAATGGACAATGATTCTCGATAAAGAAACTGAAAAATTAAATATTAATAATGTTGATATGGGAGCAGGTGAAGACCTTGCGAAAATAATTCTCGATGAAGGATTTGAAAACTTACATGATGCACATGAAGGATTCAAGTCTATGCTGAGACAAGTTGAAATATTTGAAATACATCAAGATAAACAAGCTAAAGAATTAAATTATGAAGAGCTTAAAATCAAAAATGAATTTTTGGAAGCTGATGGAATTATTTTTTCACAATTAAAAACTTTGCAACGGCATCCAAATGCATCTCAACTTGAATCAGATGAAAATATTTTTTCACAATGTGAGACCCCACAACGAGATTCTTATGAATGTCAACTTATTTTAACAGGTAATGCAAGTGTTATTTATTTTTTTTTTCCGTAATAGCATTATTGAAACAAAATTTATAACTCCCATAGACTCTAAATCGTTGAATTACGAAGCTCCATCTTAAAATTAAATATGCCGTCTAAAATCGGTATCTTTGTAAGTAACGTCATTAAGGATGGTTTAGACTATTTATTCTGCAAACACTATCATTATCTTAGTTTATGAAGTTTATAATTGGTTGCATTTTCATTATTCATATTCCACTTACCCGCATAGCCTCTCTGTATTCCAACTTTCATTTTATTTATTATTATATTAATATTACTGTATTTTTCATGTTTATTTTCATCATGCTTGTATTTTATTTGGAAGCATCAGTAATAAGTATCATCAATTCGTTGAAAAGTTGTTACAATGCGTACGTACGTAAGTGATAATCGCACCAAAAAGAAATAAATGAACGATACGCAATGCAATACATATATATCTTCAATAAATTTTGGTACTGTACTTCTATGTGCAACATATTCTTTTACGTATTGTGTCAAAATGTCGACCAGAAAAGATCGACAATCCCTTAGATATTACTAACATACCCAGTGAAGTTAACCAGTTATATTTAGAAGATAAGTATCAGGATTTTCATGGTAAAATTATTAAAGAAATGTATAAACTGTATAATGAAGAAAAATTGAAAGGCAAAAGTGACAGTTCAATTCTTGATGCTTCTAATAAAAAAAAAGCAAAATCCGAAATAATATTATCAAATATTGCTTAGATAATCAAATCGATCCTATGGTTCAATTTATTCTTGCAATTTGTTATGAGCATGGCAAGTGGGTTGAAAAGGATGAACATAAAGCATTAATTTACTATTAAAACTCTGCAGAGATGGGGAATACTAGTGCGATATGGAATGTTGGATATTGTTATCAACATGAATTGGAGTTGAAAAGGACGAACATAAGGCATTCATTTATTATCAAAAATCTGCAGAAATGGAAGACACAAGCGGGATCTTATGGTTGGATTTGGTAAGGATGAGCATAGGGCATTCATTTATTATCAAAAATCTGCAGAGTTGGGTGACGCTACTGCGATATGTAATGTTGGATGTTGTTATGAATATGGAATTGGAATTGAAAAGGATGAAAAAAAGCCTTTGAATATTATTTAAAAAGTGCCGAATATGGACATTGTTGTGGAATGCATGGTGTTGGTTAATGTTATCAGGAGGGGATAGGAGTAGAAAAGAATAAAGATTTGGCATTTGAATGGTATTTAAATCTGCTATTACTCAACATAAATGTAGTTATAATAACTATTTCAGTTGGATAGAATACGATAATTTTAGAAACATTGAAGAAGTAGTTAGAGGTGGATTTTCTGTAGTGTATAAAACATCATACAAAAGACGATATGAACCGTATGAAGATGTTGCAATCAAGATAATAAATGATTCGCATAAAAATAATCAACTTTTTTTAAATGAGGTATTTTGCTTTTTTTCACTTTTTTTTACGTAAATTTATGTTATCGTGCAAACTCTAGATTTTTTCTTGTTATTTTTTGTACGTTATTACGTAATCACAAACAACTCGTAAATCATGATCATAATTGCACGATAACATCGATATTGGATCCTGCGATATTGGATCCTGCGGCACATGTCAGCCAATCATTTGCTCCGACAAAACAAATTTCATGATATTAATCGTTACATGACCAATATCTTATAATTACTGTATATAAAAAAATCTATCAGTTTTATTTTATCAAAACTTTTTATTTATTTATTTTTTTTAATTGAACTTAAAATAATTTTAATATATTTTCCACAACTTTTCTATTCCAGTTAATAATTAAATTTTATATATAGATAAATATAGAAATATTTAAGTCTAAACTCATCTAAATTAAGCTTGGTTGTTCTTAAATAACGGATAGTAGATACTTCTCCCAGATACTTATAACAACTATTGTATGTAAATATACAGTATTCAAAGGTATAAAATACAATTATTTAGGTTTAAAAACACGATGCAAGCCACAGTTTATACTGTCACATTCAAATTACTTCTGTATAGGTTAGCTGAGATTGATTATTTACACAAAGTTTAGAAGTTGTGGCAAGACTTAATCACAGAAACAAAGTAGAGTTATAACGAAATTTGTGTAATTGTATGGAGGAAGTAGTTATTTAGGAATTTTAGGATTTATGCCAAACGTAATGTTCCCAAGATCGAATGATCTTTATCCATGCTGTAAATAAAGCTCTTATATACATTATACAGTTATAACACTTAACTCCCTCCCCGTAATTAACATATCAATAAGATAAAATATTAAAATACTATTGTTCGATTATTGCAGTATTAAGAACGTTTCAAATTGATATATATATATATACATAGATTGCAAAAAATAACTAAATTTACACTGGTTAACGTTACATGGCCGAATGCCATGTAACCCGTGCAAATTTGGTTATTTTATAACCCGCATAATAACTATTTTATTGCACGGTGTATGACGTACAATCCCGTGCCAATAAGTAAATGAAAAACGTACGGGTTGCCCGTGCAATAAGCTTATATTTTTGTATACTAATATGCTTAGATTATTTATAACGGTTTCGAATATACTTGATACGCTTCAAGGTCATAGGTATTTTAGTAACCACACAATAAATATACCAATATTTATGCATGAAACACGCATAACAGTATACTCTTCCCGCACTTTTATTCATGAAATAGTTGGATAGAATCTAAATGCAAAGTAGTTATGCAGTATTAAATTAAATTCTAGTATTCATCACTATATAGATGCTTATTTAAAATTTGAGTAATGACGTCAAATACGTCATTGACATTAATTTAGGTTGGTTGGATCGGATATTAATGCCATCTAAAGGTTAGTGTTATATTAACGAAATTAGTTTAAACTACGCGATTCTCTAGAATCTCTATTACCTTTTGTGTTACTGTTTCGGACATAATTTGGAATACATTTCTTTTACAGTTCAATGGTATGACAAAATTAGATTTTAGCCAGTTATGATTAGACTAATGTATAATTGGTCCAACAGCATTTATTACAATAAACAATAAATATTTGCATGCATCTCATTGATCATGTGAGTGAAACTAAATATATTGATGCCGTAAGTGGGAATAGAATTTAAGTTGATTCGGAATTTTTAATGTTAGGACTGAGTTTTTAGTTATAATTATTCCATTCTAACCTAAGTGGATTCCGAACTCTATTATTATTCCATTCCCACTTACAACATTATTAAATTATTAATTCACGTATTATTATTAGTATTATTATTATTGTTGTTGTTTAAAAAAAAAAAAAGTGTGTAAGTAGTATTTCGTCAAAGAAACCAAATTTTACAATCTAACAATAATCGTTCCTTGCAAAATTTTGGTATAAAATCTGATTTTTACTAACTCTAATTCTAACATTAACTCTAACACAACCAAAGTACCAATACACTATTTTCTAAATATTTTACTATAAATTTCTCCAAAATCAAAACTTGCGAAAAACATGGAATTTGAGCAATATTTAAAATCTGCTAATGATGGAAATACAGATGCGCAAATTAATGTTGGAAATTGTTATCGAGATGGTATAGGGGTATCTAAAGATGAAAATGAAGCATTCAATTGGTATTTAAAATCTGCTGAAGAAGGAAATCCTATAGGACAATTTAACGTAGGAAATTGTTATCAAAATAACATAGGCATTTCTAAAGATGAAAAGAAAGCATTTGAATGGTATTTAAAGTCTGCTGAAGGTGGAAATCTTGATGGGCAATTAAAAGTTGGTTTATTGTATCATAATGGTATAGGTATTTCTAAAAATGAAAAGAAAGCATTTGAATGGTATATGAAATCTGCTAACGGTGGAAATCCTAAAGCTCAATTTGCTGTTGGATTTTGTAATGATGATGGTATAGGTACTTTTAAAGATGAAAAGAAAGCATTTAAATGGTATTTAAAATCTGCTGAAAGTGGTGATTCTAGTGGTCAATATAATGTTGGATTTTGTTATAGTGAGGGTATAGGTACTTTTAAAGATAAAAAGAAGGCATTTAATTGGTATTTAAAATCTGCTAAAAATGGTCATCTCTATGGAATGAATAATGTTGGACTTTGTTATGATCATGGTATAGGAACTTCAAAAGATGAAAAGAAGTCATTCAAATGGTATTTAAAATCTGCTAAAGCTGATGATTCTGATGGGCAATTTAATGTTGGTGTTTGTTATTATAATGGTATCGGTGTTTCTAAGGACGAAAAGAAAGCATTTGAGTGGTATTTAAAATCTGCTGAAGGCGGAAATCCTGATGGACAATACAATGTTGGATTTTGTTATGATGAAGGTATAGCTGTTTCTAAGGATGAAAAAAAAGCTTTTGCGTGGTATTTAAAATCTGCTGAAAATGGGAATCCCCGTGGACAACATGATGTTGGATATTGCTATGAAGAAGGCTTAGGCGTAACTAAGGATGAAAAAAAAGCATTTGAATGGTATTTAAAATCTGCTGAAAATGGAAACCCCGACGCACAATTCAATGTTGGTGATTTCTATCGAAGTGGAATAGGTATCTCTAAAGATGAAAATAAAGCATTTAAATGGTATTTAAAATCTGCCAAAGGTGGAAATTCAAAAGGACAATATACAGTTGGAACTTGCTATTATGAAGGCGTAGGTGTTCCTAAAGATGAAAAAAAGGCATTTGAGTGGTATTTAAAATCTGCTAAAAGTGGAGATCTAGATGGTCAAGTAAACGTTGGATTTTGTTATGATGAGGGCATAGGCACTTCTAAAGACGTAAAAAAAGCATTTGAATGGTATTTAAAATCTGCTGAAGGTGGAAATTCCAATGGTCAATTTAATGTTGGATTTTGTTATGATGAGGGAATAGGAACTACTGCAGATGAAAGTAAAGCATTTGAGTGGTATTTAAAATCTGCCGAAAATGGAAATCCCACAGGACAGTATAATGTTGGGATTTTTTATGATGAGGGTATAGGAATGTCTAAGGATGAAAAAAAGGCATTTGAATGGTATTTGAAGTCCGCTGAAGGTGAAGATCCAGATCTCAATGGGCAATTTATTGTCGGACTTTGTTATCGAAATGGCAGAGGAGTACCTCAAAATCAAGAAAAATCTATTGAATGGCTTAAAAAATTAAAAAGTAATAAACACGATCAAGAAACCTTTATCTCTGAAAATTCTAATATTAATGACCCTCTAAAAAAGATTCTTCAAGATAAAAATTTATATTCATTATCATGGATTCCTTTCAGTGAACTAAAAATTATAGAAAAGATTGGAAAAGGTGGCTTTGCAACTGTATACCTAGCTGAATGGATGTCAAATGATACAAGACATAATGTTGCACTAAAATTGCTTCACGGTTCACATAAAAATCATGAAAAATTTATACAAGAGGTAGATATTTAATAATTAAATTCTATGTTTAATCCATTCCACTAATTTTTTAATGTTATTTTAGCTAAAGGTATATTATGAAATTGAAAGTAAAAACCCTACATTCTTAAAATTCTATGGGATATCAAAAGATGAAGATGCTACTAATGATTACATTTTGGTTATGCAATTTGCATCAAAGAAATCTTTGCGTGAAAATCTTCATCTTGTTGCGCAAATGGAATGGAAAGATAAGTTAAATTTATTAGCCAACATTGCACAAGATCTTCAATTAATTCATTCATGCAACATTATTCATCGAGATTTACATAGTGGAAATATATTACAAAATGAACTTTATAGTGCATGTATTGGTGATTTAGGACTTGCAACATTAGTTGATCAAGAATCAACAAAATATGATGGTATTTATGGAATTATTCCATATATAGCACCAGAAATTATATGTCAAAGACCATATTCATTAGCAGCTGATATATATTCATTTGGTATGATAATGTGGGAAATATCTTCTGGACTGTTGGCATTTTCAGATAAAAAACATGATTTTCATCTTCTTTCAGAAATTTGTGAGGGGACAAGACCTACTATTGTTAAAGGCACAACACAATGCTATATTAATCTTATGAAACAATGCTGGGATGATAATCCAGAGAAACGCCCATCAGCTTTAGAAATTTGTGAAATTATTCAATTCTGGAACAATAGTGAAGAAATTGTATTAAAATTTAAGGAGTCTGATAACATAACGAAAAACATACAAACTGCTGTTGACGCTATTTCTCAAGAATCAATAGCCATGCATCCTGAAACGATTTACATGTGCAGATCTATTAACTTTGACACTAAAAGTATAGAAAATATAGAAGAGTTTTTAAGAAAATATTCTGGACCTTCTAAAAGACAAAAATGCTAATACACAATCACAAAATTCAATGTAGTAATTATCACCGGATATTTGCAATCAAAGTAGCAATCTATCACCGGATATTTGTTATCAAAGTGGCACAAGCATTTCTAAGAATCAAAAAAGGCATCCCGGAAATGGTTCAATAAATTATCATATGGCAGGGCGGAACCTGAGTTACGAGTTAGTAAAATCCCAAATCCACCTTTACATAATAAAAAAAAGCATAATAAAAAATGGATTTCCCTAACCCGATCTATATAGCGGATTTCACTAGCTCGCAACTCAGGTTTCACCCTGTTCTATCATTGTCCGGAGCGGAGCGGAGGACTTACATGTTTATGCGCTTTGATGACTGAAATTACGATTTTGATGCATCTATAATAATAATATCAAAAACGTAGTTTCGGCATTTTCCGTTTGTAACGCCCCTGAAAATTTTGATCTGCGATATACATGACCAGATTTTTCAGGGGTTAGGGCCATTAATTGAATGCTCCGGACTTATTATTATACCGGTTTCCGGTTCCTAGTTATAATTCATTATTTTGCGGTAGGGTTTTTGTAAATCAATTGTTTATTTTACCTAGAGAATAGAGGTTGGAACCAGTGTTAATAATTCGGGTTTATCACGTGAATTTTGTGATATTTGGAATTTATTAAAATTTATTAAATTCTAAAATATCACAAATGCACGTGATAAACTCGAATTA